ATTAACTCCTGGAATTGATTGAAAAAAAGGGATTACCAAATTAAATCACCGTATTATAAAACTGACTAAAAGTAAAAAAAAAAAAAAAAAAAAAAAAAAAAAAAAAAATAAAATATTGTAATATTTAATCAATGACACTACTAACATCCAACATTTTCTCTGCTCATCGACGACGCTGCAGCAAGGTCGGTTTTTCAACGCTCACAAGTCTTGTGGCGTGTTGGCGCCATTGCAGCCGGTGGCAGAGTGGTAGAGACCAGAGAAGGGTTACAAACAATCTGAGGAGAAAAGTAAATTTATGCGAGGTAATATGGTAATTTTGAAAGGTGGTAAAATGAGAAAATTGCTTAATTAAAGGTGCAAAATTAAAACGCTCGATTTTAAAAGGGTCTAATTCTGACTACATGTAGAATAAAGGGTTACTTCCCGTAAGCTTATATTTATTCTAAGCCAAGAGTAACCAAGACTGAATAGTGAATACTCAAATAAATAGCATCGTGCAGCGTGACGTCTCGTACCCTCGAGGGTTTTACATATACTTTTCTGAAGTTACATATCTTTTACTTTTTTTTCGACACAGAACTTTGCATTTGAAGTTATTGCTGTACTAAAAAATAATAATAATAGTACATTATTGGAAACTAGAACCGGCACCGCCAACAGTAACGTCTGGACCGAAGATAACGAGTCGATGTGAGATTCCGGCGTTTGGCTTTACATCGACACAATATTATGGTTAACGGAGTACGCCAGTTGCCTCGCGGCGGATGAATGGTATCCGTAATGAAGATTCAAGGGCAGGGGCGGGGAACAATTATAGGGTTGGGCATTCAACAAGCAATTGAAGCAAAATTGATGGAAATAGGGGAGAGTTTTACCTTTTTTCACTGCGGATCTTCCCAATGAGCCAACGACCCAAGCTTCGTTCCAATTCTTGCGAATAAAGCAATCGATTTGAGCGGCAGGGAAATCTCTGAGAGAACAAGCTTTTCAAAGCAACTCTTACAGGGAATCATTTTTTCAGAGTGAAAATTAGAAGGGGGAGGCAGGAACGAGAGTAACGGGAAGAAATGGCTGAGTAGCAGAAGGAATCTACATTGTTCAACCACATGAGAACACTGTAGAAACACACTACAATAATGGAAAAACTACCCATATGTGAAACTTACCTACTTGAGTTATTACTCGAATTTAAAACTCGAGTTGCGTTTAATAAATGCAAAACTTAATCTAAAATCCAATTCAAGTTGAGCCTATTCGAGTGGAATACGTGAAGTAAACGGGCCTTAGAACTTGTATTTGGACAACATTGTCTCAGTATGTCGAAAATGAGCATTACTTTGCTTTACCCAACTCCCTTTTTTTTTTTTTTTTATAACAAGTCTTAAGAGGGTAAGTTACAAATCGTGTTCATTTGTAACTTTTGAGTTAGAAAATTAATGATATTCTACATAGTTTTTTTTTTTTGAAAGTTGCATGCATAGTTTTAAAATAATTGAAAATTGTTACGGGACAGTCAAATAAGAACTTGCAAACGTATTTACTTATCACACCAAAATGGCCTTTTACTTCCCTTTTTCTTTTCCATTTTTTCGGAACAAACTTTTTTTCTTTTTGAGATGATAGATTTAATCAAAATCACGTTATAATAAAATAAAAAATCTAATAGAATCTAATATAGATTCTACAATTTAAAACATAGTGGCCTACACATAGAATTAATGTTTTTCATACCCTACCATAAAAGAAATTAACACAAACCTACTCATAATCTCGTAAAGAAATCATTGTTTTACCCCTTCTTTTTATCCTAACTTTTCACTCATTTGCCTCGTTCATTTCGCTGATTCGAGTTTAGAATTCGAGTTTTACTATAGTAAAAAGCTCTCAGAAACAGTCACATTTAACTTTTTTGTTACAGTAAAAAACTCTCACATAAAATCACATCTCAACTCGAATTACAAACTCAAATCAGCGAAGTAAACGGGCCCTAAGCTAGAATTTGTACAAAGCAACTTCCGTTTGGTATGGAGTAATCAGAATTCACATTTAGTAAACAAAAAGTATTGAAATGAAAAAGTGGATTTAAGTGAACAGAAATGCATGGAAATGATTGCAAACATGTCCCATGTTGCGCTTGATTGCTCGCTTTGGTTAATATATATATATATATATATATATATATACATTTATATATAAAAGAAAAGTGCATCACATGAAAAAGCAAGTGGAAAACGGGTCTTCTCGCACCAACTCATAGAAAATCCACCAAAAAAAAATTGAAAGCTCACCAAACCAACGCATTCAAGGAATGCAATGCAGAGCGTTATGACAATTTAAGCACGAGTAATCATTATTCATGAGTCCTAACTAAAAAAAAAAAAAATGCTTTTCTTACCAAAAGAAAAAAAAGAAAAAAAAAACTTGAATAAGCATGTTAGAATAGATTTGAAGGAAATTGTGCCATTATTCAATTCAAGATATACAGGTAGATTTGGTTTTTTCTTTTTCCTTTTCTTTTATTATTATTATTGTTATTATTAGTATTATAATAAATTTGGGATTGGAAAATTTCTATTTTAGACTAATTAAACATTGAAGTGTGAATTTACTATCAGTATTATAATAAGAATATATTTTTAGAATTTAGAACAAAATATTTAGTGTGCGTTTAGTTGGTGAATTCGTGGCATAGTTCGGATTATTGTTCGTGACTCGCTACAGTATTTTCTCTCACAAAAAACACACATAAATCAAGAATAATTTTAAATCATGGTTCTAAATTATAATTCTGAATCCATCAACCAAACGTCTACTTAATTTAATGCGATGTAAAGCTAACTCTACATGAGAGCATGAGTGGGGCCCTACTTATGCTCTCATGCGGAATTGGCTCCGCACAGAGCCAGCCGATGAGTAATTTTGATAATTTTATGGTGCTATAAAAGACCTCACGATTGAGGGATTTGTTCGAGAGTGTACTTTAGAGGAGTTCTCGACATTTCATTGTTGTCATTATATGAAGCAGCCATCACAAGAGACTAACGTGTAAAGCATGCTAGAAAGTAGTCAACACAAGCCTAACTTATTATACTCCTATACTCAGAATGATAAAAGCGACATACAGTTTATACTAGAAAGATCAAGATAAAAGGTGGAAAATTACAAGCCTATAACCTCAAATCTAAGCCGAAGATATTATCTGCAAAGCCAAGCAAGGGAAGGAAAAAAAAAAAAAAAAAAAAAAAAAAAAAAGAGGAGGAAGAGCAGATTTGCCAAGTTTAAATGGATACGTGTACATTAGGACAAAAACATCTGTTGGATCTTGAAATTTAAGGTAGACTTTGCTAATATTGAGAATTATTTGGTGGGGGAAAAAATTAAAGTAATACCAATAGTTTAATTTTGAGCCGTTTAAATTTTCATTTTATTATCTTAACAAAAAATTTTCATTTATTATTTTTATGGCATTTGTTTACTTTGCAAATACTTAGTAAACTGTAGGTAAATGCTCAAGTCTTTTACGAACAATCGATCCTAAATGTAGCATTTAAAATAAATAATGCAACGTTTCATTTGTTACATTTATTTTACAACAATAATTCGATATTTTGATGGAACTTGATAGAGTTCGCTTTGTTGACTTCGTTACTTGTTCACAATCATGGTGTCCAAAAAAAGGTTAGCAACCCACTTCGTGCCAAGCTTTTGATGCAAGCATGAAGCATTGTTCCTGTGATATGGTATAACATCAAAACCATATATATATATTATATGTACATATGGAGAACCAGCCAAAACCTAGAAAGAAAACAGTGACAATATCCTCGTGTGTCTTCATCACGTTGCCAAAAGCAACGAGACAATGGCATTACACCAAATATATTAGAATTAAAGAACTAACAACCCAGAGAGAAAAGGTCAACTTTTGCAATAATTGCGGAAACGAATAAGAATGAGAACTTAGAGACCAAAACGAGGAAGCAACATGATGACGGAAAATGTATAGAGAATTCAGGAAGAATAATACTAATGAGACTCGAGTTCAGAGAGTAGTATTTAGGGGTCGTTGTTTTGGAGTAAAATTTAAGTGTAGTTTTTAAATTAAATTTGAGTTAAAATTATAATTTGAATAAAGTTAGAGTAAAGTTAAATAAAGTTAGAATTTAAAAAAACGTGAATTTAAATAAAATTATAACTTGAGTTTAAATTTTTTCTGAGTTTTGTTGCAAAAGAATAACCTAAGAAATCAAAAGAAAATAAAAAAAAAAAATCTAAAGTTAATACAAACAACATGACACGACAAAATAGGAGTAAAATTAATTGGCATCTTCCATGAGTCTATTCTAATTAGAAACAACAAATTTGGAAGCCTATTTCTGCCGACGAAACAAAGAAGAAAAGGTGTTTGGAAGTGTCAAAGAGAACCGTCCTTTCTGTCCCGTGCAAGTCATAATCCAGTTAAAATGTGATTAAATATGTAAATAACGTAAGCTAAAAACTTACAAAACTTGTGTTAAGGATTAATTTCATGAGAGATTCCCTGTAGACTAGAAAAAATGAACAACTTAATTTTAACCGTTAGTTTTGTATCCAAAACTGCCATATGCATAATTTTTTTAATGTGATTTGATTTTAAACATATCTAACGGTCATAATCTGACACTATTAGTAAGATTGTCCTATAAAAAAACTCCTTAATTTTATAAGAAAATTGTACACCCCTCCGACTCAGTATTTTCTTAACCTCTCAATTAACCCTAAAAATCACAACTCCTCTATTTCAATAAAGAAAGAGAACAACCACGATCACAAATGTGAAATTCCGAAAATATCAATACGATAATGAGACTCCGCGATTTAAAGAAGCAAAAATTACTCGCATGGAAAACAAACACATGGGCTTATCTTAAGGAAAAAATTTCAAGAAAAATGGATTTAAATGGAAAGTTAACATGAGTATCAAATATGAAGTGCAAAAATAATTAACAAAATAAGCGTGGTCCAATAAACCAATATCTGTTATATATGTAGATAAAGAAAATACAATGAAGAAAATTCCCATGACCCCACAACAAAAAGATGTAAAAGGTATATGGATTTTCCCACACCAGCCCTCAGATTGCAAGTTGCCAAAATGATTTATGTCTTCTTCAGTTCTATATACGATCCCAAAAAACGACACAAATTCGATTCCATATGCAACTCTCACTCAAAAATCCTAGAAGCACGAACATGGGAAAACCCACCAAAAGTTAAATCCAAATGTTACAACTCTAAAATCTCTCAATATGATGGAACACCCAAAAAAAAAGGCCAATATACAGAGCTCGACAGCAAAGTAGAAAGCTTCAACAACCAATATGAGGAGGTTAAGGAGATGCCATTCATTCTTCTTATTCTTCATCAGTTTCTTCCCAAGAGCTCCCAATTCTGAATATACTCAGTCAGAGAAAGGCTTGATCTTGAACCTGTAGAGAAGCCTCTTCTTTTTCGAAGTCGGGTTGTCGATTGTCAGCAAAATCTTGCCCAATTCATCAACTTTGAAGCTGGTGTGCACTACGGGTTCATCACTTGGGGCAAACTTTCTAGACTTGTGTATAATAATTGTGTATCGACCTTCAGCGTTGGGCACAAACTCAGATCCATAGCTTACTTCCCACCCCACAACTCGCAGCTCCCATATAATCACACATTTCTGCAATCCATTTATTCCAAATTAGTAAAGAGTAAAAAAAAAAAAGACCAAATAAATAAATCTTTCATTTACTCATGGAAGATCTGTAGTACAATATGAATACGAGAAAAAAAATTTTACGCATTGGATCACAACAGAATCAGAATCATATTAGATGAAGTAAAGTATAACAGTTTAACAAAACTTGATAACGATGAAAATCTAACGGTTAAAATTGCGTCTGACTGGTAAGGTATTTTCCTTTTTGGAATTGTCCATACTCATAATGAACTATGATTAGTTGTTGAGAAATGTTTGAAAGATATGAAATTGAAGATAGCAAGAGGCAAAGAAAAGAATGCAATGGAACCTCATAAATTATGATCTCAACAGTTTGCTTAGTTCCCGGTTTGATGTTCACTTCGGTGACCGGATCAGAAATGCTGAATTCCGGGTTGCAATCACAGAAATCCACACTCAGGCCACCGTATTGGATAGGAACTTGCTCAGGAGAACTGTATCTGTACCAATCCAAATTCCAAGTTTTCAAAATCAGCAACTTTATGAATTGAAAGGGACATAATAAGAAAACCAACTCAGAAACAAAATTTGGGAAAAATGGACGAATAAAATCTCCACTAACTTGAAAAGGGTCTCAGGGGATTTAACCGGGCCTGCAAAAACAAACTTGCTTTTGGTCCTCTGAGTCAGGAATGGACTTATCATAGTGTAGAATGCAAGATACCACCACGGAACATTGATAAACACCTAGAAAACCCAACAACATAACTACATAGGAAAAAAAGATATCCTTTTCAACTAAATTTCAAGACAAATAGAAACAACTGCCAAGTGAGGATAATAATAAGAAAAACCTGTTTGGCAACAAACTCAGGATAATTGTCCTGAAGCAACTGGAGGGCTTGTTTAGTGGCGATCCTGAGCTCCTTCTTTGCCGGTCCAGGAGAGTTCTTGAGATCATTAACTTGGAAAATAGTACAAACACCACCGGGGCTAAAATCAAGCTTTCTAATACTTCTCTCCAAGAACTGAATCCTGTACCTCAAAAACTTGGTCCTCTTTTCCTGATCAGAAAACGTTTTCTGATACAAATCCTTGTTCTGAAACTCCCCGAAAACATTGTAACAGATGGGATGGCCTTCTCTATCAGTTCCATGCATGTAAACCACTTTGTCTAGATCGTCCCCAAGATCCTCATCCAAAAGCTCGTCGATGCCAAACTCCTTTCTCCAACGAATGGTGTTCTTGAACATGGCGAAAGCGTCCTTCACTTTGAAGTCCCTTGCTCTGAGAAACTTGAGAAGTATCACGTCTGTTCTGTCGTCTTTCAGAAGAGGAACTCCCCAAATGGAAAGTTCTTCGGTTTCATTTTGTTGTTCTTGTTCGATGAGATGCTTCAGCTCCTCGAGAGCTTTCCTCTCCGAGTCTGAGAGATCGGCGACTTTGTTGCTTTCCTCTTTGAACGAAACCAGAGACTGAGGAATCTTTGTCGGTTCTTCTGGATTCTCCGAACCCCCTTTGGATTTCTCAGAATCGTCGGCCAAAAACTCTCCCAGTTTCTCTCTCGCCTCCTTCCACTCCGGCTCTGGCGCTGGCGCCGGCGGCAGTGGCAGTGGAATCGATTCTTCCTTCACAACCACCTCCGGCTCCGGCGGTTCCGAAGGCAGGTCTTCTTTCTCGACGTTCTCCGGCGCCGGCGGTGGATCTTCCTTCTGGGTCTCCGCCTGAGATTCCGAGGCTGCTGCTACTGCTGGTGCTGGAGATTCCGGCGGTGGCGGAGGAGGAAGAGGAGAGTCTGATTCTAACGAGGGTGGTGGTTGGGTCACGGGTGGAGCTGGAGGAGATTGGTCGGCCATTGGAGAGAGAGAGGAGAGAGAAGGAATTGGAGAAGAGTTTTTGAGTTAAAGAAGAAGAAGAAGAAGATGATATGGTTTTTGGGTTTTGGGTTGTCGTAGATGGAGACAAATCGGAGGGGGGTGAGTGAGGAAGTTAAGCTGATAACTGAGGAGTTGTCTGTCGATCTGTCTGTGTCTGTGTCTGTCTCTGTCAATTAGTGTGAAAGTGTGGCGTTAATGTGTGTGTGTGTGTGAGTGTGTGTTCAGAGTTGAGACCAAACGGCACCGCGGAAAAGTCTGGAATCCAATGTCCAAAACATGCTCATCTTATTTATTTATTTTTTTCTGTTAATTCTCATTTTATTAGACGCGTTTAGAATTAATTTTAAAATAATTTTATTTTTTATAAAAATAAAAATAAAACGTTTTTAATTTCAGATATAAATTATTTTTAAAAATGTATTTAATAATTTTATTAAGAAATTATTTTTAATCTAAAAAATTTATTAATGTCTTTCTCTCTCTTTGTGTAAAAATAAAAATAAAAAATGAAAAACGATTAAGGTTGTGTTTGTAATTGATCTCGTTTTTATTTTTCACGTTTTTCAATAAAAAAAAATAAAAACGTTTTCAAAACGGCGTTTGGTACAATAAAGACAAAAAACGGAAATGAAAACGATTTTTTGATTTAGTGTAAAATGATAGAGAAATAAAAAATGACTTTTAGTCGTTTTTCATTTTCTCCTCTCTCGAGCAGAGAGAGAAAAATAAACATTAATGAGTTTTTTTATACTGAAAATAATCTATTGATAAAACTACCAAACACATTTTCATAAATGATTTCTGTCTAAGATTAAAAACGTTTTCATTTTTATACAAAAAATAAATTCATTTTAGAACGAGTTTCAAATGTGCCCTAAAAATTATTTTTTATTTCTTTATCATTTTACACTAAATTAACATTTTTTTTATCTTAAATTATGTCAAACGTCATTTTAAAATTATTTTTAATTTTTCTTTTTAAAAAAATATAAAAAATAAAAACAATAACAATTCCAAACATTAGGCAATTCTTTTCCGTTTCTCGGTCTAGCTTTTTATTACGGAGTAACTTTTTCAAAACTAGAACTCCACTGTCTCATGAATAAATTAACCATAGTTGTTTCTTTCTACTGTTTTTTCGGTAAGGTAAAAAAAATAAATCATTAAAAAATTTTATTTTCAGTGTATATTTTATATACATTTTTAATTTAATGTGATTTTAATAAAATTTGAAAGTTAAAAACTGATTTTATTAATAAGAATGCCTTATTAAAAAAAATCCTTATTATTAATCGGATAAATATCTACTTCTATAGGTAGTAGAATTTTTTATCATTGGAAACAATATGAGCTCGACTATTAATTTAACACGTTTTTTTTAACCACTTTTTAGGAGCAGCTCTTTTTAATTTCACATTATTTCATTTTCACGATACATATTAAGGGCTTGTTCACTTTACAAATTTAAGTTTTCAATTCGAATTTTGATGTAATATTTTTTTAGAAATTTTATCTGTAAGATGAAAAGTTAGCCGTGATATTTTTTGAGATCTTTTAATTATAAAAATTTAAAATTAAAAATTTAAATTAAAAAAATGAACGAGGCCTAAGTTTCAATCTGTAGAGATGGTTGGGTTTGGTTCACACGAATACCTTTCTACTAGTGCTTTTCTATTTAAGTTTTCAATGGCCACTTGTGAGATGTGTAGCTTATAAGAGTCACATCCAGAAGATTTTAAGTTAATTTGAAGGTAAATTCATAATCGTAATAATTAGAAGTAATTACACATTGATGGGTTAATTGTTGGTGAAAAGAAGAAGCCTTGTATTCTTCGGTCGAATTAATGAGTTAACAGTTTGTGAAAACAATAAGCCATTATAATGAGAGAACGAGGTCTGAAATCTTATATTGAAATCTTGTATTATTTAGGAAATAACATTGAATATCTCCGTTAGGGAGGATTCCTCTACATTTCTCTTCTCGAAAAGGTGAGCAATAATAATAGTAACTAGATTTCAAAATTTTTAAAAAATAATAATTAAAAAAAAAAAAACTAGACTTCAAAATGGTATGCAATCTCTAATTTGCAGAGAGTTTTAGCGAAGCTTGATGATTTTAAATGGGCTCATTACGTAGAAGCCCATAACAATCATACCCAAGCCTCGTCGGAAGCCCAACAATGGGGCAAGCCCTAGAGTCCAGTTAGGACGGAATACCAATTCTCTTCCCAAAATTTTCTCAGGAAACAACCAGAGAGTTGCTCAGAAAGACAAAACGAGAATCCCCCAAGGGAGGTTTGCGCAAGACAAGAAGGCAGCACAAAAGTATAACAATCAAACCAAAAACCAACAATAAGAACAAGGAGCAACCTTAGAACAAGCGAAAAGTGTTTGGGCAATCAATGGCGGATAACAAAAGCAGCGTCGTCCCGCCGCAGTACGATGTTAACGCCAAATGGGATGCCTGCTTGGATCTCTCCGTCCGCCGCTTCGTCTATTCCTCCCTCGCCGGCGCATTCGGCGGTCTCCTTCTCTTCCGTGAGTTTCTCTCTCCTCTCTCTCTCTTTCTCTCTCTTATTCATTTTCTTATCCCTCTGTTTGGGAAAATTCGTTCTTGATTTGCATCTCATGTGTCTTTTTGATTCCTGGTATTTTGTGAGTTTGGATTGAGTTAAGCATGTGTTGAGATTTAATTGTCTTAACTTTTCTTATGGACACGGAAGATTTTCGTGAATTTCGTTGAAGAGAATCGAATGTTGCGTAAAATTTATGCTTTGAAGCCATGAATAAGTAGGTTCTGCTTTTTGAGTATTGTGGAATTTTTGCTGCTTTTGATAGGCCGTGAACTTACCACATTGCTCTTTGAGATGATTACATTTACACCGATGTTACTGACGAATACTAGCATAACAATGCATTGTCCTTCGATGTTTCTTTACAAATTGAAAAGAAACAACAAGAAACTTGTGCCCATTTTCACATGTAATTTGGGTAAACTACTAGAATGGACATACTAGAATCTTCAAATTCTCAACCTTAATGGTTTTCCAAGAATATGGTGTAAAGGGAGTTATGGATCATATTACTCCCCTTTTTTTTTTTTTTTTTTTAATGAATGGAATGTGATTGTATTTATGTATGTGTAAATGTGATGTGCATTAATATCTTTCTTCCGATTAGAAATACAGATCCTTAATTAAGACCTATGGTATTAGATATGTACATTGTGCAGTGTAATTCTTTTTGGCAATTGGACATAATAGCACCATCGAAGATTATGCGAACAAGCTGTGTGCATGGAGAAATGTTGTAGTAACCGTGTAACCTATAGAGCGGGAAACACTTATTATTATGAAAAACTGGGGTTGGTAGGGAGCTAGGAAACGGTCGTGGTGGACTATGTTTGTCACGTGGGTATATAAGAGTTTAACGATCCACTTTATGCTGGGCTGCTGGGCGCTGGCTACAATCAAGGATTTGGTTTGGGATTTTCATTGGATAGAAGATCTCCGATGTCATAAGCTGTATTGGTCTTTATTTGGATTACATATTTGTGATATGCTCTTGCTTACTGAGGGTTTTTTGCCGCCACTTAAGAGGGTTGAGCTGCATTAGGACTTTCTCTGATACTGAAGCTATGGTTTGGATAGGAAGTTCAACATAATGACCCATTTCCTATACATCTCGGGTCAGTTGGGGGTTTGAAGTTGGTCAAATGCTCGTGTTGTTTCATAAGGTTTCTTCGGCGTCTATTGAGCTTCTATTAGAGTGTCATTTGCCTTCATTTTCTTGTGCGATCCGGCATGCGATGCAGGAATTACCAATGTATTTATGTTTTATTTCTACTTATTGTCCTTAAAACAGCATAGCTTCTTGCTTGAGAAACCTATTAATCAATTGATTCAAACCGTAATAAAGGATGATAAGTTATTAATTAAAGTAATTTCAATTACCGCCTATCAAACTACATTCTGAAATGACATGCATTTGTTTGACTGTAGGTTTATGCCTTAATTTCATAATTATATTTGTCATGAATTCATCTATGCATTTTCTTTTCGTTGTAGGGAGTCCTGTGACTCGCTGGGCATCTGTAGCTTTTGGCGCTGGCCTGGGCTTAGGATCTGCATACACAGAATGCTCTCAATTATTTGGCGGATCTCCTGCAAAGTTGGCTGTTCCCCAGGTTTCCGAAACTCCTGCTAGTCAGGTACAATTGCACTTTTCTAATGGATAGATTGGAAATTTTGAAGTGTGATTATCATTATTATTGTTATTATTATTATTATTAAAAACAGGAGCATGCCTGATAACTGCAGCTTGTATCAATTAACGTTGAGTCCAGTATGTGAGAGTGCTTGGTCTTATTTCAATATATTTTTTATACTATACCTTTCTTGTTTAAATGTTGTTTAGTCAAAAGTTTGGAAAACAAATGCCAAGGAAAATAATAAAATTATCTGTTTTATGTTATTTTCAGGATGGGCAGGACTGAGAATATATGCTTCTTGAAACCGCTGTTGGCTTCTCTCCTACTATGACTTTGAGCATGTATTAGAAAAAATTGTTTTTGATGGATGAATTGTTGACCTTGTTTACTTCGTACTTGGTTTGAGTTCATTCACCTTTTTGTTCTGTAAGATTACAAGAGCAGCAGGGGAAAGAAAAAAAAAATAATTGTTTTCATTGCGACTTTGGATCTTCTATCTGCAAATTATTGGAGTTAATAACACAAAGCAAAATTGAACTAACGAAAACATGTCTTGACTTGTAAATTTGAGGTTTCTATCAACTCTTTCGCCACATCATAAGCTCTTTTGTTTCTCGCGTGCGTGTTACAATTTTCTATCGGATACATTTATTTACAGGAATTCTTTATGATATAATTAACTGCAGAAGAATAAGGCGATTCAGAATGATACAGCTGGGGTAATATTTTTGCTGCGTGCTTGGGTGCTCTTGGGTTTTGGCTACTGTTCTCGTTTATTGAATTTTTTTTTTTTTTTTTTAATAACCAGTATAGTCATTGATTTCAATTTTTTTTTTTTTCGAATAACCAGTATAGTCATTGATTTCAATTTTTTTTTTAATTATCTGTTTCCTTTTTTGGTATTTTTTATTTATATTTATTTGTGCGCTGATTCCGGCGTCAGGTAGTGTTTATGGTTTTTCCTTGCGGTAGGTCTGTCCATTTTATCAACATGCAAAAACCCAATACTCAGGATTTTGGTGATGCCATTCTTCCTATCAGGAAAGCTCAATGGAGGGCCAAATTTCGTTTATTGTCCAAAATTCCATCCATGTTAGTCAGGGCATTTAACTAATCTGATCAACTGGAGGCTGCCAAAATATGATCAAACACAATGCTCAAACATTACAAATTCCGTTAAACTAAATAAGAATCCAACTGAAAAAAAAAAAAAAAAATACTACACACATAATTTGGATTCAAACAGGCTCTCTCCTTAGTAAAATATATTGGACCCTAAAAGAAGGATACACGAGAAAATTAAACGGTCATAAATTCTATTCTAAATGTATAAGCCAGTCGGCATCGCAGACAAGATCATCCAAAACTAACCAAGTTTTACTTTTTATAAAAAAAAAAAAAAAAAAAAAAAAGGTGACAAAATTCGTGGCCGTAGGCCAATTCTAGGAACTATGATCTATGCACCTTTTGTAATGATAGCATTAGAAGTTAGCCGAACAGAAGCAGCCAGAGCCTGGTACTCTACATTGCTGATTCCGCTCCAAATCACATTCTAAACTAGCCACTTCTCATCATGCACTAAGTTTTGGCACGCTGTTAGTTATGCTCCTTTGGCTTGAAGTCTGCCTCATTGTTTTTCAACTCCGTTTGGACTCTCCGGCTACGGGGAAAATAAATGACGTCAAAATTTTGAATACGAAAATATAGAAGGTAATAAAGGGAGCTACTCACTCTTGTTGAAATCATATGTTTGAGGGCGGCAATGAGCTCCAAGAGATACTCAAAGGCAGACCTGTGAGGCTCCTGCACAAAAAACCTTCGTTTTTATTCAGATGCCGTAATGTTGATAAAGATAAAATGAGCAATGAAAGAGAGTATTTTACCGGTAAGTACGCAGATAGAGGCATTCCTTCTACCACACTGCCTAAAGGGGCCTTTGGAACTTGGACATCTTTGGTGCCACCTGCACCATCCGGCAAGTTAACACTCCAAGAAGGAGGATTAGAAATTCCCAACGCCTCAAAGTCGACCCCAGGGCCCATCCACCCACCAAAAGTATAGGAGACACTGTTTGTAGGCTCTGCGTGTGTATCCTAAAAGCACACAATCATAAATTAGTGCCAAATCTTACAACTGTATTCACTTATTTTGCCTGAGTTCTTCAAGAAATTACAATTGAAAAAAAAAAAAAAAACACTATGGTAGCATCAGTCGCTCAGTATATCAGTTTCTTCCTCTAGCACTCACATTTCCAAATAATCTCCTTTGAATCTCCTCAGGATCTATATCTTTAATTCCCACGTTACTAACCACGGTCTCTTCATCAACTCCATTAACCTGTATCATTTTCCATTCAATCGAAACAAAAATCAGATTGGTGGAAAAGGAAAAAACACACACAAAAAACATTGTCTAATCACACACCAATTCCACAGGTTCATGAATTTCACGGTGACAGGTGGTTGCAAGTTTAGCTCGATTAGTAACAATCGTCGACGCAATCTCTTTCATTCGCGACACCGATTGCGTCTGCTGTTCATCCATATTGTCACAAGGCATCTTACTCAAAATGTTATTGACATCCTTACATGAACCCACCTGCCCAATTCCGGCACAGTAAGCCAAAACGAAACGATGCAAAACGATTTAATTACCAACCAACAAAACTACTTACCATCTTGTCAATACTAGAAGAGAGTATTGTTTTCAGATCATCCTTGGTAACCTGTAAAAATAATTAACAAAAGAAACCTGTACAATGAAAATGGAGGAAAACAAAAAAAGAAATTCATAGCCTAACCTCTCTCTCTCTCACCTTTTCAACTCTGTTATCAACAACACCACGCGCTATTTCTCTCATCATCATGAGAGAATGCAGTTGTTGGTCGTCTAAATTTACAAAAGACATCGCGCTTATGTTGTCGACTATCTTCTTAGCTACATTTACCATTATTTCTTTCTTTCTTTCCATGTCTGCAGCCCAAGAAAAAAAAATTGCAACCCCATATAACAAATTGGAAGAAAACCCTAATCAACTACTTTTTGCCACAATTACAGTTAAAGATTAATTTCCCATATAGTTTTTATGATAACCATAACCAAATCAAAACCAACAATAACAAAACTTCCAGTCAGAAAAAGACAATTTCCTTCTTAGGAACAGAAAAATACAATTTGTTGTAAACAAAAAAGTTGAAATTCAAACAAGACAATATTGCAATTGAAAATATACATTTTCTTTGTATATAAATTCGTAAAAAGCAGATAAAAATCCTCATAACATCATCTACAAAGAGTGAGTCCCACCATTCAAATTAAAGAACAATTACTCGAGGAACCATTTAAAAATGTTCAAACCCTCTTTGTAAAAGAAATTATTCATACCGAATAAAGAATTGGGTTCCCAAAAAAATCATTTCCAAACATATTTAAACAAGATTTGGGCAAAAATAAGGCAAGAGAAAACCAGAGCAAACCAAATAACCAGACGGCATTTAAAAATTTTGACGTAAATTGGTGTTTGGCAATGGAAGAGGAAAATGACGGAAAGCGATAAAGAAGAAAACAGAAACGACTGACCTTTTCGATGTCGTACAAACTCAGAACAAATTCAGGTTTGTTCAGGACGTTATTCAATCGGAATGCAAAGACAGAGTTGGCTTTGGCTCTCAAGGAGCCTTGTCTCTTTGATTTCTGAAGAGAGAGAGAGAGAGAGAGAGAGAGAGAGGGAACAAACGACTACAAACCCTAGATCGTTTTGATGCTCTTCGAGGGAAAACGTCCAAACGGATAAGATGAAATGAAACGGCGTCGTTGGATATAGTAAGAAGCGCACCATTAACTTTTGGAAGGACAATACGAAACACCTATCCTCATATTTGTTTTTTGTTTTTTGTTTTAACCGGAGTTTTCATGATAAGACAGAAAAAATACTACCGACAGTTCTTTATTTTTCGGCTATCAAATTTATATTAAAAATTATCTATTTTATATATTTTTTAATTTAATATTATTAATTTTAAATAAATTTAACAATTAAAAATTAATTTTATCAGTAGATTGACCTACCAGTGAAGATTCTTTATTTTTTTAGACAAACACGTAATGTTTTCTTAAAAAAAAAGGGTAGGACATAACTTATAAGTTTAATTGTCAATTTACTTGATTTTTTTTGGCTAATCTTAACAAATACTCATTCAAAGTGTATTTATCAGAATTTTTACCTTTTATTTTTTATTCATAACATTTGTAGTCAAATAATTACACTAATAAAAATGTATTTATTAAGAATAAAGAATAAAAATCCAGACTCACGCACTCTTAAGAGTAAATTCTACAATTTTCTCTTTTTTTTCTTTATTAAGTAATTTTTTACCTACAAATTAAAGAATTTCACATATTAATCTGATGGTATTATAGTTATATTAATTAAGAATTTTATCAATTAGTGACACTGGGAATCAAAAAAAGAAAAAAGAAAAAGTCCCCTATACGAGGATCCAGAAATAAAAACTTGCTTTGCAACATATTAATAAGAACTTAGTTTGCTACATCACGAGTCATGTCATTCAATTGGCTTGCTACATCACGAATCATGTCATTCAATTGGCTCCAATTAGAAGAAAGTGATTTACAGGAACAACAACAATTTGGACTCTCAAATCAAGAAATTGTTGAATTAACAATGTTTTTTTTGTTCTTGATCATCTAAATGTAATTTTTCAATTTTATTTCTTGGTTTTCACTTTGAGGACAAGGTGATTCTTTAAGGCAAGAGTAATGATAGGAACCAATAGCTAATTATTTGATACTTTATTAGTTGCTATTGCTTCGTAGTCTTTTAGTAGTATAGGGCGTATAGTGACTAAAGTTGGCAACTCTTGAATACCACCATTGTTCGGTTAACCGAACCGATTGTGTTCGATTCCACGTGGTACCGTCGTTTTCGGTTTTGAGTGGTCGGTTCTTCGATCAGTTTCAGTTTTACGGTTTTTTTGTACAGTCCTAACTTAGAGTTGGCAACTCCTAAGAGAGTTAGTGGTCTTTCAAATACCATCATTGTTATTCGGTTTTTATACTGTTTTTATCAGCTAATTCAATAATAATTCATTCTTCTTGGTCACAAGTGTGTTAGAGATGGCTAGGTTCCTAACAAATGCATTCCCAAAATGTTGTCACTCATCATGAAATTAACACATCCCATTCCCACCAACAAATAATGTTTATTTTCTGTTCATCATATACTACGTTCTAGTATTGGTATCCTAATTTTATGCAAAAAAACACATCAAAGCAACTTTCCCCTTGGGCGGTTTCGGAGAGGAAGGGACATTTATTATCCTAAATTCCAGATATTATTGTCTTAAATACGCGGTGAAATAGACCCCCTTCAATGGAGCTCCACATAATCTAAGCAGAATCAGTTCTCTAACTGAGAATCAATTGACAAGCTCAATCCCTGTTAAAGTATGCCCTTGGTGAAGTTGAATTGCAACGTCACCGACGATCTGCAATCGTTGAATTAGCATAAAGACTAAAAGATCAGAACCAAGGATATAGTATTGCTCATAAGTCAAAATCAACCAGCAGAAAGGGGAAAAAAAGTATAGTTCATGTCAAACAGATGGATAAGCAATATAAAGCAAGTGAACTGAAAGCTAATAAGCCACCAATAAGGCTTTTTGCTATCAGAAAAGTTAATATGATGTGTCCACACGTTTCCCATGCCCTTGCTTTCAAGAACATCAAGGAAAAGTAGCAAGTGTGTTCCGAGTGTAATTGGGAGAATGCAATCTGTCATTCATTTTCAACTGATTGGAAAAGGCTATAGCGAAAAGAATATCCACATGGAAGTAACAGGGCCCGAAAACGGCTCCCTCACAAAACCAAAAGAACAATTAACTTACTAATTGAAAACACACTAAGTTCGAGAACATGCAATTAAACTCTCGCCAATGCCAATTTAAGTGAGATTTTAACATGCAAGCAGAATTGTCATTAACTCTTCAATTACTTGGTCAAATATATAGTATATAAACTTGTGATAGCTTAAAGAATACAATATACTAGCCAAAGTCCATACCTTCGACATGCATCTATAAGCATTTTCTGTTACTCCTGCCACATGGGGCGTGATTAAAACATTATTGAACTTCAAAATTGGATCCTCAGGATTAAATGGCTCTGTCCAAGCAACATCAATGCCCAAGCCTCCTAAGTGGCCGGACTGGAGATAATGATAAACAGCTTCATAGTCCAAGAGACCCCCACGGGCGATATTCACCAATAGGGCACCCTGAGATACACATTATAAGTTCCAAGTGTATAACAACAGCAGAGAAGGAACAAGTTGAAGAACAACAAATTGCCCCTTTTCCAAAAATGGGGATAATGGATTTGTCTTCTTGCTGTTGTTATTTTGTGAAAGACGGAAAAGAAAGTCTCTTAAATTTACGTACAGCAATTTAAGAGCTTTTATTATCCTGCAATTTCGGTTCATGATAATCTCACTTTTTCATCATAATTTCTATTCTAACATTCCGTTTTTCTGCGAATAATATTTCCTTCTAACTTCAAATGTGAGGAAACAAACCTTTCTCATTGAAGATATAAATGACTTGTTCGCGACGCCCACCTGATTAACCAAATTGTACGAAGAAAAAACATCAGAAACTATGCAAAGAAATTACATTTCTGTTGAGAATTTACCAAGAATAAAAACGGCAGAGGACAAGTTTTCATCATAACTGCATTTTAGAATTTAGACAAATGCCATTAGATACCATGTTGAATATAGGAAACTGAGGGAACAAGAATACAATGCTTCCTGAATATTGCTATAGACATGTAGTAACACAGGTGTAACTTAAGGTGGTAACTAAGCAGAAAAGAAGATACAATTAGGAATGGGGATGAAAGACACGAATAAAACATTCATATCTCACACATGTCCTTCCTTTTGTGTGCATCCTGTATTGGAAATCTGAATCTCACACCCACAAAGTAAAAAATACAGCAGATTTCTAGGGAATTAATCTTACTGTTTCACTATTTAAGCGCAAACAACAAACAACAATATCTGCCTTGCTTGCGAACTGGTAAATGTCTTCATGACTGCCCTTCTCGTCAACCAAATCATCGTCAACATCACTTTGACCTGGAAGTGATAGAAACAACTCGTAAGCGGCAATAACTAGGGCTTCATTCCCTATCCTAGCTTATGGATCCACGCATACCATCAGAGAGAAAAGAATCCTTCAAATGTGGAGTCCAGCTCCTTTTTGTAGCAATAATTTTAACACCAAACGGTCTCAAGCGTTTTGCCAAGTCAATCCCAATATTACCGAATCCCAATATGAAGACCTGCATAAGCAAGAACTTACAAGTATAATTCATGTCTAATTCAATCCCAATATAATTCAATCTGGCGTAGAAGCCAGGGGTGAGCTGCAGATACAACTAAGAATCAGTACATTAGAATGAAACTCGTTCAATCCAAGAGCCAAATCAAAGGGGAAACAGTCAGAGCACAAAAGGGAAAAGAAGGGATTGAACCCAATTTCATTCAACTCAATATCCACAGTTGCGTACATCCTTAAAGCAAAGGATAGTTAAACCTAGAAACATTCAGCAAGTGACAGACACATTTCTAGGACCAAGCACAAACGGCAACTCAAACTTAGAAACAAACGACACAACGCTTAGACTTACCAACGACACTACGTTTGGTTCGTTTAAATAAGCAAAGAGAGAACAGATATTAGTGGCCAGAGGAATCAGCTCCTGCATCAGTGCCCCCTTCTTTGGAAGGATTCGCCCCCGAATCAGCAATGGAAACGGGAGCGGCATCAAGCGAGTAGTAGTCAAAGAGGTCTTGCACGTTGAAGGTGGGAGAAATAGAGAGAACTCAGCAGGAAACTCCCCATGATAAGCATTGTCATTAAGCTTGGCCGAAATGCGGAATGGACCCTATATGCGGTCCTGCAGCTTTTGGTAACTAGCATGAGGAAGGCGGTGCTTGTTGAAATGCACCATGACCAGGTCGCCAACAGAGAAGGATTTGAAACGGCGGTGCTTATCGGCATCGGTCTTGTAGCAAGCGTTGGCTTGCTCAAGGTTGGCGCAAACTTCGCGATGAATAGAAACAACCTGTTCAGCTATTTCAGCAGCGGATTTGCTTTAAAAGTAGGGCAGGAGGCAGAGGTCTACAGTGTTACACAGGGCCTTGGTGTAGACAACAGCAAATGGCAAATAAGCACTCCAGCGGTTCACCATGAAGTTGAAAGCAAACTCAGCTTGTGTGAGTATAGCGTCCCATTGTTTCGGGTGGTCACCAACAAGGCACCTCAACATGTTGCCTAAGGTGTGGTTGGTCACTTCAGTTTGGCCGTCGGTAGGCACTACTAAACTTCAAAAAGGTATCCAAATGGCGCCAAAGTTCACGCCAAAAGTGACTAAGAAACTTGACGTCGCCGTCGGACGTAATTGAATGAGGGACCCCGTGGAGGTGCACAATCTCACGAAAGAAGAGGAGTGCCACATGCTTAGCATCACTTGTCTTGCGGCATGGCATGAAGTGAGCCATCTTGGAGAAGCAATCGACCACCACCATTATAGAGTCCGCGTTGTGAGGGGTTCAGGATAGACCAAGCACAAAATCCATACTAACATCCTCCCAAATGTTTTCAGGAATAGGCAACGGAGAGTAAAGTCCAGTATTTTGAGTACCCCCCATAGCGCGTTGGCGAACGCGCAATGCTCCACGAAGCGGGTAACATTGCGGCGAAGCTTAGGCCAAAAAAATCGTTCTTCCAAAAGAGCAATGGTTGTCACGCCCGGTGTGTGCAGCCAAGCCGCTCGCATGGAGGTCACAGATTAGGAAGTCCCGCAAGGAGGTGCGGGGAACACAATTGATTGCCATGGAACAAGAAACTGGCATGAATCAAAAAAGCACCCCGTGATCATGAGCCAAACAAGCTGCCCACACATCTCGAAAATCGTCATCAGCCTCGTATTGGCCTCACAAGCTCTCAAGGGTAGTGATGGTAGGATGCAAAGTGGTCAAAAGGCATTGCCGACGGCTAAGAGCATCCGTTACTTTATTCATGTGACCGGCTCTATGCTTGAAAACAAAAGTGAACCACTGCTAGAATAAAATCCAACGAGCGTGCATTCGGCTTAAGTTCAAGTATTGCAAGGCGTGGTGGTCACTTTGGAGGATAAACTCTTGGTGAAGAAGGAAATGTTCCCACTTTTGGAATGCTCGAACCATGGCATAGAGCTCTTGTTCATAAGTGGACCACTTCTGGCGTGCTTCACTTCTGGCGTGCTTCACTAAGTTTTTCACTAAAGAATTCAATAGGCCGCTCTTCTTGGAGCAAAACTGCGCCAACGCCAGTTGAGGAAGTATCAGTCTCCACTTCAAATGGTTTATAGAAATTCAGCAAGGCAAGGACCGGGGCGGAACTCAATTTGTCCTTCAAGAGCTTGAAACTGGCATCTTGCACGGGACCCCAATGAAACCGGCCTAGCTTAGTGCAATCCGTAATGGGGGCTGCAATGGAACTAAACCCTCGAATGAATCGTCGGTAGAAGGTTGCGAGACCATGGAAGCTACGAACCTCTTAGGCATTCCGAGGGGTTTGCCATTCTTGTATGGCGTGGACTTTGGACGAATCAACTGCAATGCCATCTTGTCCCACAATAAACCCGAGAAATGGGAGTTCTGAAGCCCCAAAAACACACTTCAAATTAAGATAGAGCTTGTGCTCGCGAAGAGACAATATCACCTAATAGAGGTGTGTGAGGTGTTCTTGTTCACTTGGACTACAAATGAGAATGTCGTTGAAATAGACCACTACGAATTTGCCGATAAAAGGTTTTAGGACTTCATGCAACAGCCGCATAAAGGTGCTCGGGGCGTTGCACAACCCAAAAGGTATTACTTGCCATTCGTAATGGCCCTCCCGAGTTTTGAAAGCGGTATTCCACTTGTTGCTGGGGGCGACCCCGGATTTGATGGTAGTGTTAAAATATAAAAACTATTGTTGGCCCACTTCCTAACAGCTTAAGCTTTTAGGATGGATTGGTAAACTAACATGGTATCAGAGCGGGATGTTCTGACTTCAAAGTCCTATAATTGCACTCTTTATCCCCCATTTAAATTGTCATCATGTGTTGGGTTTTTAATATATCTCGGGCTTAAATATTCACGTGTTGGACTTTCTAATTAATTTACCTATAGGATTGCCCATTGTCCAGCCCACACATGAGGGGGAGTGTCAAAATATAAAAACTATTGTTGGTCTACCTCCTAACAGCTTAAGCTTTTAGGATGGATTGGTAAACTAACATTGTCAGAAAATAGAAGATTTTATTTCCTAATAGAGAATAAAATTGTTCACTTTCCTATTTTCTAGTTTACTTTTTCTGTTTTTGAATAAAAGGACCAAATCCCTTAGTTTGGGGTAATGATCCTAGGAAATAGGGTAGTTTCCGGATTTAGGTAGCGTCTTTGTTAGCTGTTCGTGAGCTGTTAAGGGTACAATGTATACTATAAATAAGATGTATGCTACCATGATCCCAGACAATTCTCTCTATACCGGTGTTGATAATATAACAACCGGTTCCTCCTTACAAATCCTCATTCAAAAGTTGAATGGAAAAAATACCTTGAGTGGTCACAGTCCGTCAAACTTATGCTCGATGGCAGAGGAAAACTTGGATATATTACTGGGGAAGAGAAGCAGCCCGGAGAAAAGGATTCAGGCTTCAAAAAATGGAGGTTAGAAAATTCCTGGGTGACAGCATGGCTTCTAAATTCCATGGAGGCAGCAATCACAAAACCAAACATGTTCCTACCAACCGCCAAAGCTGTGTGGGATTCCGTTCGGCAAACATACTCAGATTTGAAAAATTCTTCATAGATCTTTAAATTAAAATCAAGGCTCTGGCAATCCAAGCAAGAAGATCGTGAGATCACAGTATATTACAACGAGATGGTGACCCTTTGGCTGGAACTGGATCAATGCTATGATGATGAGTGGGAGAATCCGAATGACTGTGCAAGGTATATGAAACGTGCAGAGAATGATCGTGTTTGTATGTTTCTTGCAGGAGTTAATAAAAGCCTAGATGAGGTAAAGGGAAGGATTCTTGGCCGAAAACCCCTGCCCTCTATTCGTGAGTTTTTTTCAAAATTACGACAAGAAGAAAATAGGAGGAGAATCATGCTAAACAGTGCAGCACCAGCACCCAAACCTGTGAATTCCGCACTAGTCTCTCGTAATTCAGGAGGATCTGATATGGAAGGAGAAAGGAAAAAGCAACCATGGTGTGATCATTGTAGAAAACCATGGCACACTAAGGAGACATGCTGGAAAATTCATGGGAAACCAGCGCATTTGAAGAAAAAACATGAGGGCAATGGCCAATGGCAGGGCTCTTCAAACCACCACTGACGATTCTCAAGAGCAATCAATCAACTCGGAGGTGCATCCTTTCACAAAGGAACAGTTAGAGCATCTATACAAACTCTTTAAATCTCCACAATTCTCTGTCACTCCTTCATGTTCCCTTGCAACCCAAGGTACTTCTTATGTCACAGCCCTCTCTAGTTTCGGTCTTTCTTCTAGCCCTTGGATTATAGATTCTGGAGCAACATATCACATGACAAATTGCTCACATCTCTTCTCATCTTATAGTCTGTGTGCAGGAAACAGGAAAATTAAGATTGCTAATGGATCTTTTTCGGCAATAGCCGGGATTGGTTCAATCAAAGTTTCCCCCCTTATAACTCTTAATAATGTGCTTCATGTTCCAAAATTGTCATGTAACCTCTTATCTATCAGTAAGATAACTCAAGATCTTAATTGTCAAGTTAATTTCTATCCAACTCATTGTGAGTTTCAGGAACTGGCCTCGGGGAGGGTGATTGGCAGTGCTAGGGAAAATAGAGGACTCTATTTTTTTGAAGATGGAACAATCCCAAGTAAACCAATCCGAAGTTTATGTTTTGAATCTATGTCTACTTCTAGTAATCATGAAATTATGCTATGGCACTATAGACTTGGACATTCAAGTTTTCATTATTTGAAACGTTTATTTCCATCTTTGTTTATTAATAAGAATCCATCTTCATTTCAGTGTGAGATTTGTATGTTTGCAAAACAACACCGATCCCCCTACCCTCCACGACCATACAAGCCCACTAAACCTTTTTCCTAAATCCACAGTGATGTTTGGGGTCCTTCAAGAACTCCAACACTTTTCGGGAAAAAATGGTTTGTCACATTTATAGATGATCACACTAGAGTAAGTTGGGTCTACTTGTTAAAAGAAAAAACAGAGGTTGAAAGAGTTTT